GCAGCGGGCGCACGGCGGCCATAGCCAGGCTTCTGGGGCGCGGGCTGGTGATGGCGATGGTGGTCTTCGGGCAGGAGGCGCATGCTGTGGAAAGACGGGGGGTGATGAGGGGAGGAGACGGACACGTACCTGGTGTATGCTGGCAGTCTGCATTAGCGACGTCGTCACGTACATTGGACTTCAGCTTCGAAGCGATTCCTGTTGCATGAACGCAGAGTAGGCTAGTCTAGGCTGAGTAGTATAGGCTGGGCAGTGAGCGCCAATCAGGATGTGTTGATGTGGTGAGAGAGTGTCGACATCGACATTTGAGTTCATTGTATTTCTCTTATTCGGCTTGTATCTCGGTGTATTGTGCTTTCTGCTTGGTTCTCGACTATCTGGCCTGCAGCGTGATTTTGCAATTCGGATTTCTGTCTATTGCTCTCGCTCATATTCCTTGCAAAAGAATCAATTCGCTGCAATGACCTGCACAGTAATGGACTGAGAAATCTGCATTTCCTGAGAAAGTTGCTTTTTCAGCTGTTCGCTCAGGCGTCTGAAGTTGCATACTGGTTCATGGGAGACAGAAATCTGCAGTTGGTGAGAGAAGGGGGCTTTCATAAAACCGCTCTACTATTGTCAATATTTTGTTCGTTGGTACTGGTCAGTGCTTTGTTGCCGAGTCAATGCCGGTTCATGGGAGTGAAAGAGGGGGGGAGTCGGTCAATCTACCAGGATTCAAATTTCAAACTCATTATCAACAGTTGCATGTGAATACCATTTAGCCATAGGTTATGTACCAGGTATTCCCTCTTCAATTGGGTCAAACAGTTGAAATTCCTCTGTCATTAGTTAGATGTGCGCCTGTTTGGGCACAGGCCGATTACCAGAGATACCCTCTTCCTTTTCAAAAAAAGGAGGCAAAAAGAGGTGGCTTTTATTATAGCTGAAAATCGGGCTCAATGTCCCTTATAGATGGGTTAATCATTTTACAATCAATGCCTCACAGGGACAGAGATTCCCTGTACCATCCTGTCAAAAAGTTCAAATCTCACTCTCACCTGAAGGAGATCAAAACTCTCTGTACGGTTGACAGCAATGAAAAGCTTCAGCGATGAATTTTGAACGGAGATATTTGGATCAGCCACCATGTCAACAAGCTTGGGGAGGAAAGCCTGGAAAAGACAACATAAGACGAGAAACCAGAGACAATAATGGAAAATCTCATGGCTCTTTGGGTTATGACAGACTTCCGAACAACCATTACAGTTCGGACCAACCAGTTTTCCAGGCTGCAAAGTTGTCTGAGCCGTCTGAAGGAGATTGCACACCCTTCAACACAGGATGTTCGCTCCACAGCTGTAAATGAGCACACAAGAGCTCAGTTCCGACTCAACCCACTTCCCCTCTGCAACTTCTCCTCTCTCTCTCTCTCTCTCTCTCTCTCTCTCTCTCTCTCTCTCTCTCTCTCTCTCTCTCTCTCTCTCTCTCTCTCTC